ATTGAATTAAGACTGGTAAGCAAGCACTGAGATTATTGTTTGCTTTGAAGCATTTGCCAATCCCATATGGTCTAGACCCTAGAACAGTGGTTCTCAGACTTGAGCATGCATCCGAATGCTCAGAGGGCTTTTAAGAACACATATTATTGGGTCCCACCTAAGGGTTTCTGATTCAGTAGGTCTGGGATGGGGCCCTAGAATGTGTAGTGCTGACAAGTTCCCAGGTGATGTTGGTGATGCAGGTACAAGACTACTCATTGAGAAACACTGGCTAGAACTTGGGTTTGAATGAGCCAATATGTGAGGTGAAATGGGGGCCCAAGCTTTGGTTCTGAAAATAGTGGGAAATTTGCTCTCTCAGTGTTAGCACTGGTTGGAGAGGAAAAAAGGAAGGAACAACTCTCTGTTGAGATTCTTAATTGTACACACACTAATGTGGGCTTGAGGACAAATAGCAAACAAAACAAAAAATAAAACTTAGAGCCAAATATGTAGCTTAAGGTGTTCCCAAACTGGCAGTATCTTTAGGTATTTCAGAAAACAAATAGAAAATAAATAAGCATTTAATCCAACTTCAAAAAATTCCCACAAATAAAAATCCAATGAATGTGGTGGTCAAAAAGACAAAATGTAGAAGGAAAGAACCACAGGCATGAGTCTTCAGGAAAAATAAACTGCAGAATTTGACTTACACAGAGTGGAGATAATGAAATTTCAGATACAGATTATTTTTGAAAGACATTTCATGTATTAATTAAAGAATGATCAGGTATATTTGAAAAAAGAACCAAATAAAACCTGTAAAAATGGACATTATAGATACCTGAAATAAGAAACTCAAAAAAGAGTTAAACATCAGAGTAAATAAAATTGAAGAGAAATTAGCAAATTGAATGACAAACAAACAAACAAACAAACAAAACCATAAAACAGAAAACATCAAAGAGTCATAGTGAAACAGAAAGGTAGGTTGAGTCATGAAGGACAGAGAAAGAACAAACAGAAGGTAGCAGAGAACCAACACTTGGTGAGGCACTAGGCGAAACACTTTCAGCACTAATGAAGGACGCCCATTCTCGTATCCAAGAAGCACAACAAACCCTAAGAAGGATAAAGAGATACCCACACAGAAGCACATCATAGTAAAACTGAGGAGCAGCAAAGATAAAGAGCAGATTGTCAAGGCAGCCAGAGAGAAAAGACAGTCACCTGAAAAAAGATACAACAATCAGACTGAAAGATTACTTCTTAACAAGTACAGAATTGATAAAACTATGGGCAAGTATATTTAAAATGTTGCAAGAAAACAACCATTAGCCTTGAATTTTTGCACAGTAAAATTGCCTTTAAAAAAGAAAAGCACAAAATAACACTTTTCAGACAAAGCTTGAGAGATTTTTCACTAACGAAACTTCCAGAGGACTCACTCGCAAAGCATGAAGGAAAGAAGGTGAGAAATATCATGTTTTTTTTTAATAGGTGCTAAGTTTTTTATAATGATATTCTTTCAATTAAATATTTCATAAGAAATAAAACTGATCTAAATCATCGGGAGTTAGAATTGTTGGAATGGGTGTTAACCAGGCGTTTCTTTTTCAAACAATTTTGCCTATGAGTTGCTGGTTTATGGGTAGCATTATCATTTGTATCAGATGCCAGACCATAAATTAGCAGTATAAAATTGCTAATCATCTCATTCTTGGCATTGCATTGCAGTGGGTCAAATCAAAGCATACTGCAGTCCATGAAATTTCAATCAAAATAATGATAATAAAACTTTAGAGTCCACAGTATAAACAACACAAATAAATAATTTTAGAAATTGTTTGACTTTTTAAATTTGATGTTCCATACTTTAGTAAAATGTTTGCTGATGCAATAAAGTTTCAGTCAAAGCTATAATCATGGTGATATTTTCTCCTTCAAGAAAACTAATTCTAATTTCCAGAAGAGAGAAAGGGAAAACGATTAGAGAAACTGTGTTTTAGAAAGAGAGAAAGGGAGAAAGAGAGAGAGAGAGAAAGAGAGAAAGAGAGAAAAGAAGGAAGGAAGGAAGGAAGGAAGGAAGGAAGAAGGAAAACAGAAAAGAAAAGATTTTGACATTAACAAACGACATGGACTTGGGCAAGTTAAAGAACTATTTAGAGTCTATTTTAAAACCAGTTCTGTGGAATGAGAAAATTTGACCATGTGCTCTCAAAATTCTTCTTCTGGATCAAAAATACAGTTCTATGGTTATATATGCTGGGAAACCCAAGTGACTTTGTGTTCCTACGCTATGGCCCTGCCCAAGAATGCAGGTTACAGGGTGGGTTGAGATGATCAGCGGTACCTGTAAGGTTGGAGGCCGGGAACCAAAGGTAGGAGAGAAGTGAGATAAGGCCAGTGATGGGGAATTAAGCTGAGTGATCTCTAAATAAAAATACCAGAAACTTCTCTTGCTAAAAAATATTGGTAGAGAGATGACCAAGTTGGAAAAGGATGGATAACCTAAATGAGAAGACTACAGAGAAGTCATGATCCACATTACCTTCTGCCCAGTGATACACTAGTTCACTTGAATATCCAGTAGGAAAGAATGATTGTAACTGAATTATGAGACCAAGTGAGACATATGCAAGAACACAACACCTGAATTCAGGACATGGCTTATTCTGGAAACACTGGTAACCAATGAGTGCCCCGTCGCAGAATCATCCACCACTGGCAGCTCAGATTATGCTCCCTCCCTCACTCCTTTCCCAGCAACGTTTACTTCTAAGTCTCTGAAGGCACTTTAGGAACAAATGCACAGTTCCCATGTTTCTGAGGAGGGAATGGTTTTATGGTTCATCACGACACCACAGACCAAACGCCCCCGGTAACAGTCCACGGGGATGGCATTTGTGTGACTCAGAGCAGATTCTGTGATCTCATACTTCGGTGAGATGAAGCCATGTTACTTAGTCACATTAGGATTATGAAATGATGTTCCTCAGCAAGGTAGATTATTTAGGAAGTAAATAAGGTTTCACACATTTGAAGAAATAACGGGGAAGGATCCCCCTGTTGATGACAGGCTTGCTGCAGTTTACAGCCCCCGTGTGACACTTGGAAAAGACAGCAGACGCAGGTTCTGGAAAACAACTTTTGATGTGAGTCATGCACGTGATGGGAACCACTCAGTGAGGTAGAGACTCTCCAGGGAAAAGGCAACACTTGTTTTGCCCCTAATCCATCTCCCAATCATGGCCTTTAAGACACTGCCCTGGAAATGACCTAATAATAGTAGCAGGTGGAACCCTAGCTACTCCCCCAATCAGACCCTAACAAAGCTTGTCACCTTGCGCTAGACAGAGCTGGTGGCCTTTTCCGTGGTTCTAAGCATTCTTCTCCATATGATTTAAACTTCCATGCACATTTCAATGAATTAGGACAGTGCACACCTTATCATGGTCCTGACGACAGTAATTATAACAGCCATCACTAGTGGAAAGCTGAGCTGGCCCAGGCCCTTTGCACATACTATCTGGTCTCTCTCAGATCCAGCTGGCTACAGAGGGGACGTGTCCTGGTTTATTCTTCCCTATATAATAACACAGGCTCACCAGGGCAGCCTCTGTCCAGGCAGACCCTGGACAGCAGTACTTGCTCATAAGGAGAGAGGTGAAGTCTTTCATGTCCAGGAGTGAAACCCAGCATTAGGAAACCCTGCTGGGGGCAGTGCAACCAGATGCTCTGGTCTAACTTCATTAGGGCTGAAGCCAATGGTTTTTGATTTCAACTTTCTTACAGCTTCACCTTCTCCATTGGTTCTGAACATGGATTAGGGTGCAGGGAGCGTCATTACTTATGATTTAGAAGCCGACACTCACACAGATGCTGTGCGGTCATGGATGTGAGCTGCCCTGGGTCTCCCTTCAAGAGAGGACCTGCTGCTGGGAGTGAAGTCAGCTGACAGCATCCAGCGGCCACACTTCTGGGATCCCTGCAGCACGGTGTGCGTGCCACTTTCTCCCCAAGCTGCCTGCAGCCAGCGAGCCAGCAGGGGAAGGGGACCCCAGAGCCCAGCCATCCCTGCCCAATGCCAGACTCCTGCCATGTCCAGTCCTTGACAAGCACTGCGGACTGAGGCCCTTCCCAGCTCACCTGCCTCTTCTCCTCTTCCCCTTTCACCTGCTGCCCCCGCCCCTGCTCCTCCCCGCTTTATCCTTCACAAGCTTTCACCCAGTGTGTGTCCTGCACTTCTGCTTCGTCTTGGCGTGTCCTTCCCCAAAGACCCAAGCTGACGCCGTCAGTAGCATCATACTCTCCATCTCCCAGGGCATGAAGTGCGGCTCCAAGCAAGAAAGTAGGTGACATAAGTACACCCCCCTTTTAGGAGTTTATGCATACCCTTAGATTAGAGGCTCACATTTCAAAATACCTAAAAATAACATTTTAAATGAAAAATTTGCATGTCTTGTAAGCATACTAGTATTGTAAGTAAGAGAGAGCACCATTTCTTCATAAAACTGAGCCCAGTGGGGCCTGCCCATGCAATGGATAACTGCAAAGACACACTGGTTTCTAGAAAGGGGAAGAGAACACTGAAGACGGGAAGCATTTCCATCACCCAAGGTTTGATTCTGGACTCAGAATGTGTTCATGAGGAAATCGGATGGTACCAATAAGACAGGGAGACATGCACAGACCTGGACCGTCATCCTTACGTGACCTCAGGGCACCTAACTGGTAAGCACTACCCACAACTTCGCACTTTCCAAGAACGGAATGTCCATCACATTGAGAAAATAATTTTTCACATTTGAATATTACCTTCACAAATTAAACCTGAATCTGATTATTTTGTCTTCACATTCAGAGGACAGTAAACATATTCAGAAAGGATAAAGAATTGCCAGGTTACATTTGAATGCTTAGAAATATCTGAACGTGAGAGCCTAGATATAGTTTAAAAATTAAACAGACATTTCTTTTCACGGCATCATGTTTTTAAAGAAAGGAGGAACCAGACTTACCCTCGTTAGAGTCTTTGGGGCATTCTGGCTTCTTGGCTTTGCTCTTCTTGTGGGGTGGAGAGAGGTCTTTTGGCTCTAGCCCCTCTGGAAAGACAAAGATTCAATACGTTCCTATTTAAATATTTACTAGTAGGGTTCAAAATTACGTTCACACTTTAAACTTTTTGTTTTTGTTTTTTGTTTGTTTGTTTGTTTTAGTAAACCCACACATACAGTGAAGCTTAATTGCAGGTTTATCTGTCATCATGGCTGAGTTTTGCCAATTAACTTTGGCAAAGACATATGCTTCTCCAATGAACATGGACTTACACCTAGAGCTTAAGCGGAAACATTTTTTTATCATTAATCATTCACACAAATGTGAAGTCATAAGTGCTTTTTTTTTAAGTAAAAAATTCTCCATGAAACAACCATAAATTATTATTATTATTTTTCTCCAGGAGAGTTTAATTTGAAACTTCATGCATTAATTGACAGTTGTCATTGTGCAATTTTGTCTTAGTCCTCAAAGTAGCTGCAACTTTCTCTCTTTTGGGGACAGTGGATGAGGGGGGGTTTCAAATTAGCCTCCTTCTATTTAACAGATTTCCTTGGTAATCCAGATTCTTAACAACTTCTACATGCCCCTGATTAAATTATTATGCTTCCCATTTTTCTCAGTGTCCCACTCCCCACCAAGTCTATCCAAGGAGGCTAATAATTTAAATTCTGAAGACAGTTTAGGAAAAGTCTCTCTGAAACTCATCCCATTGGAATACTGGACACTTTGTTAGGCACTAGCTTTTATCTCCAGTCCTGATCTCTGTGGAGTTCCAAGCTTATGTCTTCAGTTGCCCACAGGGCATCTTGTTTTGCATCTGGACTGAAGTCTTCTGTTTGCCCGTGGAGATCCATGTTCCACCCTTCCCCTCCCCCAGCCCCCTGCACAGCGCTCTGGGAAACTGGTCTCTTTGGACCACACCAACAAACTCCCCAGCAATCTGGCTTCCTATAGATTCAGCCAACGGGGAGCCCAGGGCATTTGTTTCCCAGACGACCAGTATCTTCAAGGGCTGACTGTCTCCCTCCATCTGAGGTCATGGCTCCTTTTGGGTGGCCTTCTCCTCATGGCCGTCTGTCTCCTGGGTCCTGTAACTACCACCTCCCCATTGTCCTTTCAAGGCCAGTATTTAACTGTGCCCCACTCTTCCCGGCCCTAATGACCTCCCTTTACTCAGCTCCCATCAGGCATTCAAACTTATGTAAATAATCCCATGAAGCATTTCAAACAACACAGCCAGAGCAACACTCTTGATGCCTGCAAACCTGTTCTCCCCACAGTATTCCACATCTCAAGAGAGGGTGTTATTGTCTACTCGGAAACTTAAGCCAATAAATGAGATATTATCCTTAATATTTCTCTTCAATTACTTTTCTAACAAAGCAGTCTCACCATGATAAGTCCCATTAGCTCTGCTCCAAAGTGTATCCCATGTTCATCCTCTATGCTCTTCCTTTGCAGTCATCATTCTAGTCCAAGCCAGCAGCCTCTCTTACCTGGGTTACTACAACAACCCTTTTGAATTCTAACTTCTGGCTGTCTAATCTCCCCATAATCCATTCTCCATGTAGCAGCCAGAGTTATCTTTTAAACATAAACCAGATCACGTTGCTGCCTGTTTAAAACCCATTGCTTTTAGAATAAGATCCAAATCCAGCTCTGTGGCTCAGGATATGGTACTTGAGCTCCACCTACCATATCAGTCTCATCTCTCACATGCTCCTTGGCTTTAGCTTTGTTAGCTCCCTTCAGTCATTTCTTCAGTTTGTTCTATACTGGTTCCTACCTCAGGACCTTTGCACCTGCTCCTCTTCTTTTCCTCTGACACACATACTCATATGTCTACCTCCTTCTCATTTTTTAATCTCAGATCAAATTCAGCCCCTGAAAAAGGCCTTCCCTGACTACTTAATCTGAAGGGATCCCACAAGGAAAATCTCTCTCAAACCCATCACCTGGTGTATCTGAAACTATCTTGTCCCCTTGTTTCTGTCTTTATTGTATGTCTCCCTCCTCAATCACCCCCTACCCTGAGAATGTAAGTTCCAGGAGAAAAGGGCACCTGTCTTTTCTAATCTCTCTTGGGTCACTGGTGTCTCGCACTGCCTTGAGAATTTCATTCTAAATTCTATTTCCCCTTCACCCAGGCCTTTCTTTAAAGCCTCGCTATAATGGGGTTGGTGTCTAATTCTCAGTCTCTTAGCAGCTGTTACCTATGCCAGGATTCTAAAACTACACTACAGAGTTATGGTGACTCATTTTTCTTTCCCCATTTATTATAAAAGGAACAGAACAAAACAAATGCATTTGATAGATGTGCTATTAAAAACCTTGGCATTATGGACTATAAAGGTTTTTGGGTGCTAGGTTAGCCTTTCTGTGGTTGCAACTCAGTCACATCTAAGGTCGTTACCACGACCGGGGTGAAAAATGTTGCCAACGACTACATTAGCAACTTTCCAAATTTCTGTCACAGGTGTGAGATGGATGCTGACCCTTCGGAATAGGTTCAGTAAAAACAGCATGAGATGCTTGGAACAGCTCACTAAGCACAGAGGCTGGGCTCAAAGGGATTTGTAAAATGAGCAGAGCAACACTTGCCATATCTCTGGGAGAAGATTCTAACACTTCCAGCCCTGACAGGCAACGTCTGTGCCTGGGACCGAGAGGGGCATTCCCAATGCTGGGAGTGCGACTCCAAGCCAGCATTTCCTGAAAATGAGCTTTTGAGCATTAAATACTTAATTCTTGATTTTCCACCTAAATAGAAATTCTTGGGGAGTGGGCAAGATTTAAAAAGACATTTACTTGCCCACATTTTTGAGCTATTTACATACCCCAAAAGAGCTACTGCTGTGTTTCTGAGGAAGTTGCAGGGCGTTCCTGGGGTGGCCAGTGGGCATTTGCACACATTAGGTGTGAGCAGTTGTCTGTGATACCGTATAGGATCGCTTTATGATGCCCATGGGGACGCTCAGTTGAAAGCCACTGGTACGTAGGGCCTCTGGGCCCGTATTTCTGCTGTGGTTCAGCAGGGACAATTTTCCCTCTGGGCCTGGGGAAGCTGGAGGAACAGTCCTCAGAAGCACCCCAGGCTTCTCCTTGACAGAGTATCACAGTTTCTGTGTTGCCTCTGTTCCTGGCAGAGGCTGCAACGCTGGAGTTTTGCCCAGAGCGTGGTTTTGCCCGCCAAGGAGCTCAGCTGTGATCCTGACCGGCCACAAGGGCGGCTGGTTTTCTGTCCCTGGAGCTTGGGCTGGGGTCCACTTCAAGAGTGCCTGGTCTTGGACATGGAAGGCCGTGGGGAAACATTGACTATGCTAGGATTAAGAAAAAGAACTAAAGGACTTAAAAAGGATCGTAGGAATTTAGGCCAGTCGGTTTCTACCACCTCCAGGGGGCAGAGCGTCTCCTTGAGAATGACCTTGTCTGATACCATCTGATACACTCCTGCCTCCCCTGACTATCTGAGTCTGGAGACCGGAGCACAGGAGTTAAGAATATGAGCTTTGGGGTTAGACCTACACACCTGGATTCCGTCTCTGCCACATAAGCAAGGAACTAATCCCCCTTAAGCCTTAGATATCACCAGTCCCTGCTTTTTAGAGTTGCTGCGTGTCTTAAGATTGAGTTCATGTATGTTGAGCGATCGGCACAAAGTGCATGCTCATTTAAAACCTGGCTCAGCAGAGGTGTGCTGGGGGTACTGGGGACAGCTTGCACCAGCTGACTGTTCCTCTCTCTCCTCAACTCATATGTTTGCTGGCCTCATGTTTGGTAGCTTGAACATGGTAGGTGTATTTATACCAAAGAAATCTGCAAACTCTTTAAATTTGCCCCCTCCCATCCCGCCCAGAGGTACATTTCCTAGCATCTCCCTGGTATCTGATGTTCAAATTATTATTTATCAGCATTTGTTGACTTCTGATTCAACTAAACAGTACTTCACTAGTGTCCACTGTATTCTTAAAATCCCTCCAGCATTTCTACTTGCATGAGGACAAGACGTGATGTGGGGCAGAGGGCAGGCTGGCAGTGAACGGTCTTAGGAGGCTGAATCAGACTCTCAGGGACCAGCACATTGGAGTGAGGGACTGTGTGGAAGGCAGCCAGCTCACCAATACTCGGCAAGACCAGCTGGCCCTCCACGGACCCATCGGGTACAAAACCCACCGTGATTTCAGCACTGAGATCTCACGGGATGTAGAGCAGCTGTCCTGCTTGAGGGGCTCAGCGCCTCTGGGCCCCTGAGGGTGACGTGACTCAGCGCCTTTGGGCCCCTAAGGGTGATGTGAGCAGCGGCAGCCGCCTGCTGGAGACAAACCTCCAGGACACTTGGAGGGACTGAAATCAGAAATGATGATCAAGTTAAGGCCCCCAAAGCTCAAATGCTGACTCCAACCTTATGGGTTGTGCATTGGCATTAATAACGATTTCCCGGAAATCCCTCAGTGGTTCGGAGAGCTAGCTGCATCTCACTAAGAAGTCAACTCCCTTTGCCTAGAAATGTGTACTTATGTCACTTTAGGCAAATGATCCTTAGCAAAATAGGTCCCTGGAACTGGCTGAAAGGGCACTCCTCCCCGTGGCTGAAGGACACGCCAAGGATACTCATGTGAGCAGGATGCATGCAAAGTGCAAGCATTAATATTAACTTCCTGAAATTTCATCTAAGACAGGGTGACCACTTCAGGTCTTTTTTCTACATCTAGTTCTTTCAAATAACAAGATACCCTATGTGTGAGTTTAGCAATTTATATTTTAATTGAAATTTTGCCCTGGGCTTTATGTTTTACAAGAAGGAAGCAGAGTCCTTGTCTCCTGCTGAATTTTCTCAAAAGAAGACGCTGAGACAAAGGTTTGAGTGCAAGTACTTAATTTGACAGATAATCCCCGGGAAGCACCAGGGGGGAGCAGGGAAGTGAGACAGGAAAAGGGAGGGCAAGCACCACTTAGTGTGTTAATGAGAAAGTTCTGCTGCGGACAATCAGGGCTCAGCCCTGCTGGGGGCCTCGGGGTGAGGGCACAAAATCCTGCAATCCCGCGCCACACAATGCCAGGGAGCACCTGAAATCTGAGTGTGAAATACACACAAATTTTAAACACTCAGTGTGGAAAAAAGAAGAGGGTAAAATATCTAATATAATTTTTATATTGATTATATGTTGAAATGCTGATATTTTTGAGATATTATGTTACATAAAATATGAAGTTATTTTCACTTGTTTTTTCTACCTTTTTCAGCGTGACGACTCAAAAATATGAAATTACATGTGAAGCTCACGTTTGAGGCTCATGTTTTATTTCTACTGGGCAGCACTGGACTAGAACATGCCTGAGATGTGCCCTGAATGCGTGTTGATCAATAAACCCTTGGCCAGCCTCGGCAGAGCGCTGCTCCGGAGAAATTAACTTCCCTGGTATTTTGAGTTTCTTATCATCAACAGAGAAAAGCACTCAGCTGAGAGTCACCAGAACTTTCCTTAGACAGCTGTTGGTATTGTGAAACAGCAGTAAGGCCAGGGGGACGAGGCAGGGAACCGACAGCTGTGGCATCGTGCCCCCTCCACTTCCTGCACCCCTGCCCCTGACTTTCAGACCCTCCCTCTGCTTCTCATGCCCTCTGAATCCATGGCCCTGGGGAGACCACAGGAACAAAATCAGACAAGCTCAGACCAGACAAGAGTGGGAAGAAGCTACAATCATTGTTCCAGTGAACTGTAATGAAGGAAAGGAATGTGCATTACTCCTCCATCAAGAGAGTGGGAGGTCAGGCGAGGGAGAGAGATTTAACTTTACAAGGAGAAGGATGCTCTTAACTAACCCTTGCCCAAGGAGATTGTTTGTCTCATAATTGAAAGAGCTCCCTGTTCAGGGAGCTGCTCAGACCCAGGTTGGTAGTGATTTGTAGGGAGTTCTGGCAGCAAACGGGTGACACAAAATTAGGGCCTCCCTCTAAGATACCTAGTCCAATTTTGAAAACGGGCTCCATTTCATGCCTAGGACAGGAAGGCTACTGAAAAGAGGAACATGGAGCTTTCATCCCATAGAATTAAGTCCTAAACCTTCTAGTATCTTTTACATATGTTGAGTGAAAAAGGCAATCATCGATCGAGTGTTTACTATGTCAGATATGGTGTCCCATTTCATCCCCCCAGTAAGACTGCATGTAAGTGTTGTTGCCCCAGAGGTGTGAGCTGAGGCTTATAGAGAAAACTCTCACCCAAGGTCATTAAATGGAGAAGCCAGGATTGAATCCAGGCCTGCTGATCCATCATTCATTATCAAGTTCGTATTGGGCGGTGACCTTAGGCCAGAGCCGATGCTTTTAAGCACCAGAGTCCCCTCGTCAAACACTGGTCTTTCTTGAGGAGTAAGCATGCATCTTACTTTCTGATAATGAGAGCAATATATCATTATCTACAAAATGCATTTTCCAAAGACCATCTCAGCCGGTTTTCAGGCCCTACACACTGTGCAGAACCTCAGTGTTCCCCATCGGGAAACAGTCTACTCGCTCTTCCTCTGAGCCTGGCTAGGCGTGTGAATGACTGCTCCAGAGAAAAGAGCTCGGTGGAAGGAATCCCAGGGGATTCCTGAAGACTGGTCTTAAAACGGGTGTCAGATTAGTTCACTCACTTCGTCTAGGGAAACCACTTTGGAACCTGGCCGCTGGGAGGAAGCCCAGGTCACACAAGGAGGCCGTGCAAAGGTGTTTCAGAAAACCGCCCCAGCTCAGGTCTCAGCCCGACATGTGAGGGAACAAGTCCCCGGTGCTGAGTCTTTCTGGGGAGGCTCCAGATTTTGTGGAGCAGTGTTATCAAATCAGCCCTGCTGTGTTCCGTCCTGATCCACAGAACAGATCAACTTAATAAATAGATGTTTTAGCCACTCAGTCTTGGGGGTGATTTGCTACACACCTCTGTTAATTACAACATCATGTTCCATTTTCACCTTAGCTGTCAGGAAGCTCAAAGTCAAATTTAATGTTTAAATATAGTGACTGTGTTAGCTGTGAGACAGCACAGCACAACCACATCCTTATTCTATGAACGTGAGTGTACATTTCTATATTACTAGCCTTATTTTGTCTTTTTAAAAAATGTGACATGTACACAAACAGCAAAATGATCCTTGCCTATCCTCTAAGAATAAAATCATAAATTTAATACCTGAATCTTCCTTCATGTCCACTTCTTCTTCTTCATTATCATCTATTGAAAAATAGAAAAGACAAAAGAAAAACTCATATAAAAGCTAGAAACACCAGAATTCTCCTGTTTGACTAATAAAAAAAAAAGGAAAGAAAAAAAACTCAGTAGAAAAGGGAGAGTTAAATCATGTGTTTCTAAGTCTTATATTATCGTGCCAAATTAGGAAGAAAGTGAATACATTAGAGCACAATGTAACATCTGGGGTTTACATTTCCCTTAAGAAATATTACATATTTATCACAAACTTTATATGCAATAATTTGTTTTACTTATGAAAGTTACATGTGGTCACTTTGGTTATTTCAATTCCTAAAAAAAATTAGAAGCACAGATTTTACATGCCACACTTCCTGCATTCATTAAAGGTGTCTATGCTCATGTCAGGCATCTGAGAAATGCAAGCATCCCCATTTGGTGAGAGGCTGACACAATGTCCGGTCCCTGCCCTGCACCAGGGAAGCTCTTGTCTGCTACACCTTCAACCATGTACTTTCCAGTGCCCCCACCAGATGCCCCATCCCATTAAGCCCCCTCATCTCGCCTGCCAGTGTAAACCCCTTCAACCGGACACGGACGTGTGCTCCCCCTGCTCTCTAAATGGTGTGTCTGTTTCCTTGAACTCTTACGTGTTATCATCTCTTCTTGTTAAATGTGCTGCATATCCAGGCAGTGCCAATTCCTGTCCGATTTCCGTGTTTCCTCCTCTAGTGACATGATCGCAACCCAAATTCCAGCTCTCAGGGCCATCTGCCTTCCTGGTTTCTTGCTTCCTGACTGCTCTCCTCTTCTTCCCACTCCTGACTCCAAATCCTTTTCCATGTAGCTGCCAAAGCAATCTGAAAACACAGCCCTGATGTGGTTCCCAACCGCTCAGTGGCTCTTCTCTGCCTAATGAGAAAAGTCTAGACTCTGCCCTGACACTCAAGGCCAATGACGTCTGGTCCCAGCCACTTTTCTCCGTTTCAGCACCCTTGTTCCACTCCTGCTGCTGCCTGCCTGTGTGACAACACTTGACGCTTCCCTGTTTTCTAAGGTTTCCTTTAGGTTCCTCCACCTGCCTCAGTCCTGGAAGCAGCGCTTTTCCCCATCTCGATCCACACACATCCTTCCAGGCCAAGCTGAGGCACCTGCTCCACCCGAGTGTGAATGAATAGTGTTCTTTTTGGTACCTTATGTTTACTGCTTTGTGAGTATCGACCTTAAGGACCTCTGGGCTGAGATCTGCATTATGGTCCTCCACCTGCCTGTTTTCTAGATGTGTGATCTTGGAGACTTACCTAATATTCCTGAGTTTCAGGTGTATCAGCTGTAAAGTGGGATAATAATAGTGCCTCCTACATAGAATTGTTATGAGGATTAAATGAGATAATACCACCTAAAGCACTAGGACAGCTAAATATTCGCTATTATTACCATCAAACCCCACAGCCTCGTCACTTGTTGACCTGTCTGTCACCATGGGCCCATCTCCAGATTGTAAATTCTTCAAAGACAAAGACCATGTCTTGTGTTCCTCTATATCCCCTAGCATCTAATGCAATTGAGTGTACACTAGAATCAATAAAAAAATTTCTCCTAAATTCAGTGTTTGATTTTTAAAATTTTTTACTTTTCTCTGACTTTTTATTAGCCAAATTGGAAAATTCTGTTACTTTCTGAGTATCTGCTACATATTAGGAAGCATGTTTCTAGAAGATAGTTTGTAAACAGTGAGGGCTCAGTAAAGATTTGCAACTTCCTGGCCAAATTTATTCAATATGGCACTACGTGTTAATTATTAATGAAGATTAGCAATATACTAGTAGAAATGGAAAATGCATTTAGTTTGAGGTGTTAGAAAGTTTTTTTTCTATTGAAGTATAGTCAGTTTATAATGTTGTGTTAATTTCTGATGTACAGCAGCGATTCAGTTATATATATATATATTCCTTTTCATATTCTTTTCTATCATAGGCTATTAAAAGGTATTGAATATAGTTCCCTGTGCTATACAGTAGGACCTTGTTGTTTATAGATAGGTAATTCTTGATGAGTACAGCTAAGTTTTAAAGAAGTAAATTTTCTTCCATTCAGATTGTTAGAAACATTAGTGATTTTCTACATAATTTCTTTCTTTCCTCCTCCTTTCTGTCAACACAATTTTAGGAGGAAGAATAGCTATTTCTTAGAAATATGAATTTCTAACCAATTGATTTTCAAAATGCTTCACAGTAAACTTGTAACAGACTCTGTTGGAACTCAATATGTTTAAACAGAATTTTATTTTCCAGAACTGTCTAAAATATCTAGAACCATCTCTATGACAAAAGACTCTTTGGAATCTCAGAGCACAATGAAAAGAATCTCTACAGCTTCTACGGGAAAATAAAAGAAGTCAAAGATCTCTGTGATTCTTCCCCATGTAGCCAGTTGTCTTTCTAAAAACGTGCATTGGTAGCCCACAGCATACAAGGCTTAGGGGAGATAAAAACCTTACCAATAGTAAGAAAACGAAGACACGCAGATGCAGTCAAGCATACATCAGAGAGAAGGCAGTGCTGCTATGAAAGGTACAGAGGAAGCGTAGGTGCTCCCAGGCAGGGCTACTGGGGAAATGTGGCCTCAGAGCTGATGTTTGAACTTCATGGACTGCACTGATGGCAGCAGCCCCAGAATGTTCCCAAGGTGATGGAAGGTCAGACTTGAGGTGTTATTCATTCACTCATTCACTCATTTGTTCACATAGAAGTTCAGAGTATATCCAGGATCTATATTCTGACTGCTTGGGTTCACTGCCAGGCCAGACTATTCACAGCTGTGCAAATTTGGGCAAATTATGTAAACCTATACTGCAGCCTCCTCACCCGGAAAATGGGGATGATTAAAGTACCATTCTTCTAGAGTTGGTAATACACACAAGGTGTTTACACAGAGGGAACGTTCAGCCAATGCTGGCTATTACTGTTATCATGTCATTATCATCACTGCTTTTACTCCTTAACCATTTATTGACCGACACCAAGTGCCAGAACGATGCAAGGCCCTGGAGACACAAGGTGACACTCCTTTCCCTCAAAGAGCTTCCAAACAAGTGCGTAGTGTGGGAAAGTAAAACAACCATGAGAGGAGGAAGTAACAGATGTTCTGATGCAGGTGACCACAGATTCCACTGGGAAACAGGCAAGAGGCAGCTAAGTCAGAGAAAAGAACTATGGATGGTTTCCAGGAGAGGTGAGGCTTAAGCTAAGTCCCAAAGGGTGCGTTGGAGTTAGCTATGGGGAAATAAAAGCTGCAGTACATTTCCAGAAGATGTGGGTGCCCTGCCTACACTTGTTGTTCCTTGACACTTGAGTGGTTTGCCAGCCTGACTTCCAGGTACCAGGCTCTGGGTACCTTTGCCTGGAGCCCATTAGAAATGTCATAGAATTAACTCCCCTCCTCCTTCACAGAAGACAGCCTTTCAGAAATGGCAGGATTTGCATGTAAGCTCCCTTGCTTCTCAGGTGCATAACCCAGAAGCATGCTCTACGCTGTCTCCCAGAATCTCCCCAATCCCAGCCACGGGACAGCACCTCAGTGGTTTAGTGGTGATGGACGTGAATCTTAACTTAACCATTACAGCCTCATTTCCTTCTTGGTCTTGCTCCTGCACTCCCCTGCTGGGGTTTCCCAGTATCATCTCCCAAATAAACAACTTCCACTTGAATTTTTGTTTCAAGTCTGCTTCTGGGAGGACTCAAACTAAGACAAGGGTTATCACCCTCCCATAGAGGGAAAAGCAACTAAAAACGCCTGGATAGCAATAGTCAAGATGCTTTTAAGGCAATAAGCTAGCTCTGAATGGCTGAAGGGAGAAGGTACAGGACGAACTATGGGTAAGGTGATCTGTTCTGGCTTGTTATTGAAGGATCTTCTGTGCTCCCTGCTGACTAGGATGGTTACTTTTATGTATCAGCACCACCGAAACATGGTGTGCCCAGACATTTGCCAAATGTTATTCTGGGTGTTCTGTGAGGATGTTTCTGGATGAAATTAACATGTGACTCTGTAGATGGGGTAAAGCAGATTGCTCTCTCTAATGGGGCGGACCTCATCCAGTTTGTTTAAGGCTGACCTTCCCACGAGTAAGATGGAGCTCTTTCTGAGGGACGACCTTTGTGCTGGGACATTGAATCTTTTGTCCTTTTGAATTCAGACTGAAACATTGGCTCTTCCTGGGTCTCAAGACTGAAACTATGCCATCAGCTCTCCCAGTTCTCAGACCTTCAGACTCCTCTTGGAACTGCACCGCCAGCTCTCCTGGGTCCCCAGCTTGCCAGCTGCAGATCTTGTCAGCCTCCATAACTGTGGAAACTAACTCCTCATAACAAGCCTCTTTCCTTATACCTACTATTGGTTCTGCTTCTCTGGAGAATCTTGGTTAACACAGCATGTTGATGCATTTAAACTTTATCTCCCAAATTAAACAACTTTAAGCAGAGGAAGAGTAGAACATCTTTTGAGTGATAATATTTTTTATGAGATAAATTTACTAAAAAGAAAAAAACACTAAAAAATACATGCCTTAATGTTTTGATATTTGTATTAAAATCAATCAGAGTATTTGGTCTGCAAAGCATCTAATGTGCTGTTACTTATTAATGAAATCCACTTTAGTTCAACATTATTTTATGTAATGTGCTCACTTGAATCATATTTATACAACAAATTTCTAGCAAAAATTTTTTTCTAACAAAGCAGCGACTAGAAACAACATATAAGAGAAGATGAAAGTCTGTGGAGAAAAGAAGTCATGCCACTCAAAATCTGGAAGCAGTTAAGAGACTGAGGGAGCATGGGCAGAGAGCTGCCCTTCTTAACAGTTCTTCGAGCATCATGCAGCTTTGTTAGAGGACAAAAATAAACTAAATGGTTCTTAGCCAAAGTGATAACCATTTCAAAATAGAGAGCAATCCATCAGCTGGTATTGTTCTGTGTGTTCAGAAATGCCAACTCCAGAAACCTCCTTCCCTTCCAAGGTC